CTGGGGAAGGCGGCGAAGGAGGAGGAGGGGGAGGGGAGGAGGAGGGGGGAGGGGAGGGGAGGAGGAGGGGGGGGGAGGGGGAGGACGAGGATGGGGGTGAAGGGAGGAGAGGGAGGGGAAGGGAGAGAAAAGCGAACGTTAGTTTGTTTGCACTGAATGGTTGGTTGGTTGACAATGATTGTTTGACTGACTGACTGATTGACTAACTGATTGACTGACAGATATACAGGCAGAGACAAACTGACTGACTGACTGACTGACTGATTGACTGACAGACATACAGGCAGAAACAGACTGATTGATTGACTGACAATTCTTTATCGACACTAACGATAACTAACTGTAACTTATGGTGATGACAATGGTGGTTTATGGTGATCGAGGAAAGTGAGAGAGTGGTTGTTGTCTGCGGTGGTGACTCACGTGATAGTGAGGTGGTGGTGAATGGTGATCAACAGTGATGGTGATCGGTGCGACATGTGGTACGATGACTACCTGGCATGGCGTGGCTGGTGGTGATGATGGTGATGACTGGTGACGGCTAATGATGGGGTGATGCTGGGATGGGATTTTTTTCTTATTATTATTATCATATTAAGCTAAATAATGAGCCACACTGAAAAAATCGAGATTTATACCACCAAAGGTGTCAGTGCAGGTCAAGATACAGCTAAGAAAGAATGAAAAAAAGAAAGCTAATTACGTAAGAAAAAATGTTTGCTGACGTTTTAAACTTAACAAGAGTCGAAGAAGTTACAATCTCTGAAGGCAATCTATTCCAAAGTCTACAAATAGCAGTAAAAAAGCATCTAGAAAACTGACTTGTAGGTGATCGACTTGCATCAAATGTCATTGAATTGAGGGTCATAGAACTTCTGGTAATTCTTGCAGGTTGATAAAAATCAGGTAAAAACCTATAGAGGGGATGTGAATTATCGGAATGAAGAGCAGTGTTTACGACGACAATTACGAAACAATGACAGCAACAACAGCCAGAAGCCAATCAACAATAACATGCAGTTCTACAAATGAAAAAAAAAGGCAGCATCACCTACAACAAACCGTCAGCAACACCAATGAAAACAACTGCGACAACACCAACGCCAACAAAACACCATTATTACCGCAGACAGCAACAGCAACACCAAGAAAATCACCACCACCAACACCATCAGAGCCACTCCGTCGCTGCGATCATTACCTCCAACACTATCAACACCACCAACAAGACCGCCACCACCACTGCCGCTAACTCCTCCACCACCAACAGAAACACTAACCAAATACCCCAACACCACCACCAATGTCTCCCCCACTACCCTTACCATCACCACCAACAACAGCACCAACAAAACCACCACACTCACCATCACCACCACCAAATCCCCCCCCCCCCGACTCCCAACCCACCCACCGCCCTCACCACCCCACCAATATCTACCCCCCACCCGACCCCCACCCCCCACCGATATCTCCCCCACTACCCCCACACTACCACCAACCAATATCCCCACCAATATCCCCCCCCCCACTCCCACCAATATCTCCCCTACCCCAACCACCAATATCCTCCCCCTGCACCACCAATATCTCCCCCCCCCACTCCACCAATATCTCCCCTACCCCAACCACCAATATCCTGCCCCCCCACCCCAATAATATCTCCCCCCCCCCCCCACTCCCACCAATATCTCCCCCACCCCAACCACAATATTCCTCCCCCCCCCCCACTCCCAACTAATATCTCCGCCGCCTCAACCAACCAATATCTCCCCTCGCCCCCACCGACTCTCACCATATCTTCCCCTCCCCCACCGCCCTCCCCCCACAAATAAGCAGCACTGAGCCTAACTCGCAAATGCAATCGCGGGGGTTTATTGCAGAGGTGACCCGCCGCGCAGGATCGCACCGCCGACGAAATGTGGTTTCCGGCTCTCCCGGCGGCCGAGACGGCAATTCGGGCGAGGCCAAAAGGTGCATTCTTCGGGTTGGCGGCGGTGAGGGGGAAGTTGGGGAGAGGGGGGGAGGGGGGAGGTGATGATCATCTCTCTGTATTTCCCTCCCCTCACTTTTCTCTTTCTCTCATTCCTTCCCTTCCCTCCCTCCCTCTCCCCGCCTCCCATCTCTCTCCTTTCGTCCTTTCTCTCCTCTTTCCACCTTCCACCTCTCTCACTTTCTGACTCCCCTTCCCTCCCCTTCCATTCTCCCTCTTTCCCTCCTCCCACCTCCCCACCTCTCTCCCTCCCATCCCTCCTCCTCCCACCTCCCACCTCTCTCCTCCCTCCCTCCCTCCCTCCCTCCCTCCCTCCCACCTCCCACCTCTCTCCCTCCCATCCCTCCTCCCTCCCTCCTTCCTCCCTCCACCTCCCCACCTGCTCTCCCTCCCATCACCCTCGCCTCCCTCATTCCCTCCCTCCCACCTCCCACCTCTCTCCCTCCCATCCTCCCTCCTTCTTTCCCTCCCTCTTTCCCAATCGCCACCTCTCTCCTCCGCACCCTCCCTCCCTCCCTCCCACCTCCCACCTCTCTCCCTCCCATCCCCCTCCCTCCCTCCGTCACCTCCCACCTCTCTCCTCCCTCCACCTCCACCTCTCTCCTCCCAATCCTCCCTCCCTCCCTCATCCTCCCTCCCACCTCCCACTTCTCTCCCTCCCATCCTCCCTCCGCTCCATCCTCCATCTCTCTCCTCCTATCCCTCCCTCCCTCCCTCCTTCCCTTCCTCCCACCCCTCCCCCTTCTCCCTCCCATCCTCCCTCCCTCCCACCTTCCACCTCTCTCCTCGCCCACCTCCCACCTCTCTCCCTCCCATCCTCCTCCTGCCTCCTTCCCTCCACCCACCTCCTTCCCCTCCCACCCTCTCCTCCCATCCTCCTCCCTCCACCTCCCACCTCTCTCCCTCCATCCTCCCTCCCTCCTCTTCCCTCCCTCCCACCTCCCACCTTCTCCCTGCCCATCCTCCCTCCCTCCCTCCTTCCCTCCCTCCCTCCTTCCCCCTCCTCCACCTCCCACCTCTCTCCATCCCATCCTCCCTCCTCTTTCCCACATCCCCACCTCTCTCCTTTCTTCCTCCCTCCTCCCTCCCTTCCTCTTCCCCTCCGCACCTCTCTCCTCCTCCCATCTCCCTCCGCCCTCCCTCACCTCCCAACCTCCTTCCCTCCCACCTTCCCACCTCTCTCCCCTCCCATCCTCTCACTCCCTCCTCCTTCCCTCCCACCTCCCCCCTTCACCCTCCCTCCCTCCTCCTCTCCTCCCTCCCTCCTCCCCCCTCCTCTTCCGCTCCCTCCCCTCCTTCCCTCCCTCCCTCCTCATCCCTCCCTCCCACCTCCCACCTCTTCCATCCATCCCTCCCTCCCTCCTCCCACATCCACCAATCTCTCCCCCCTCCTCCCTCCCTCCCTCCCTCCTTTCCTCCCACCTCCCACCTCCTCTCCTCCCATCCTCCCTCCCTCCCACCTCCCACCTCTCCCTCCCCTCCCTCCTCGCTTCCTTCCCTCCCCACCTCCCACCTCTCTCCCTCCTCCCATCCTCCTCCCTCCTCCTTCCTCCCTTCCGCACCTCCACCCTCTCTCCATCCCATCCCTCCCTCCCTCTTTCCCACCTCCACTCTCTCCTTTCTTCCCTCCCTCCTCCCTCCTTCCTCCTTCGCACCTCCACCTCTCTCCTCCCATCCTCCCTCCCTCCCTCCCTTCCCTCCCTCCCACCTCCCACCTCCCTCCCTCCTCCCTCCAATCCTTCCGCTTCCTCCCACTCCCAACCTCTCTCCCTCCTTCCCTCCTCCCTCCCCTTTCCTCCTCCCACCTCCCACCTCTCTCCCCTCCCTACCTCCACCTCCCACCTCCCTCCTCCCTCCCTCTCTCCCCTCCTCCTCCTTCCCACCTCCCACCCTCTCCACCTCTCCCTCCAATCCTCCCTCCTTCCCTCCCTTCCTCCTCCATCCCTCCCTCCCTCCTTCCCTCCCTCCCACCCCTCGCTCCTCCTCCCTCCCTCCTCGTCCCTCCTCCCCCTCCACCTCTCTCCCTCACCTCCCTCTCCCCCTTCCTTCCCACATCCCACCTCCTCCTTTCTTCCCTCCCTCCTCCCTCCCTTCCTCCTCCCACTCCCACCTCTTCTCACCTCCATAACTCCTCCTCCCTCCCATCCTCCCACCTCCCTTTCCTCCCAATCCCTCCTTCCTCTCCCTCCACCTCCCACCTCCTCTCTCCCTCCATCCCCCTCCCTCCCTCCCTCCCACCTCCCTCCCTCCTCCCTCCCTCCTCTCCCTTCATCCTTTCCCACCTCCCCCTTCCCTCCCTCCTCCTCCCTTCCCTCCCTCCGCACCTCCCACCTCGTCTCCCTCCGCTCCCGTCCTTCCTTCCTCCACCTCCCACCTCCTCCCTCCCATTCCTCCCTCCTCCCTCCTTCCCTCCCTTCCACCTCCACCTCTCTCCTCTCCATGCTCCCTCCCTCTTTCCACATCCCCTCTCTTCCTTTCTTCCCGTCCTCCTCCCCCTTCCCCTCCTTCCCACACTCCCACCTCTCTCCCTCCCGAATCCTCCCTCCTCCCTGCCTTCCCTCCTCCCACTCCTCCCTCCCCTCCTTCCCTCCCTCCACCCTCTCTCCCTCCCATCCTCCCTCCCACCTCCCACTCTCTCGCTCCCATTTCCTCCCTCCCTCCCTCCTTCCCTTCCCTCCCACCTCCGCTCCTCTCCCTCCCTCCTTCCCTCTTTCCCACATCCCGACCTCTCTCCTTTCTTCCCTCCCTCCTTCCTCCCTTCCTCCTTCCCACCTCCCACCTCGCCTCCTCCCTCCCCACTCCCTCCCTCCCTCCCTCCCTCCCTCCCTCCCCACGCTCCCTCTTTCCCTCCCTTCCCTCCCTCCCACCTCTCCCTTCGTCCCTCCGGCTCCTCCTCCTCCCACCTCCCACCTCTCCCTCCATCCTCCTCCCTTCCCTCATTTCCCCCTCCCGACCTCCCACCTCTCTCCTCCCATCCTCCTCCCTTCCTCTCCGCCTCCCACCTCCC